CAATTACACCTCCCCACCTCGCCATAGTGAACTTAACTAGGTGGCTTGTGGGAAATGTGACGGATAACAACTACTGAAATTCACTGCCCCAATACTAAAAAATTCTACAATACAAAAAATTTCATACTCTAATTTACTTTGTGAACTCAGGTAATGAAATTCACTGTCCCAATACTAAAAATTTCTGCAATACCAAAACTATAAATTTCACACTCTAATTTACTTGGATGTCTTTTTACCCGTACCCGCTTTTTCTCCTTGCTTACACCCTACTCATGATCCCTTTGAACCCCAATTTGGGAAACACGGTTCTCAAACACAATGTCACGTGCTGGGCCCTTTCGTCAATGATAAACAAAAACTCTTTAAACAATGATTATATGGAATCAGTGATTTAAATGTTTGATTTACAATCAAATTTTAAAACTTAATTTTAATCGTTGACGAAGAGAAATTCTAGTCTAAGATTAGCTAATCTGACTTTTTAGAATGCCAAACTTAGTCAACTACTAATCTCTAATTAGCTAGTTACTGATTAGACCTACATGTACATGTAATTACAGATTATTTCAGACACTTCGAAAATATGGGCCCTAGAATGACTCAGAAAAACACAGCTATGAACTTATCAGTGAATTGAATACTATACTCAATTGGGATCACGTGGTTTTTTTTCTCACATATTCTTAGTGTGATAGCCCGGGCCCTTATTCACGAAAACTTAAACTAAGTTACAACCGAAATTTTAAGAAATACTGCAACTTTATTGGGTATATGCAAATTGATTTTACTGGTCAGTCAATCGAATTGCAGTATTTCTTAAAATTTCGATTGTATCTTAGTTTAAGTTTTCGTGAATAAGGGCCCTGTATGGTTTTAGAATATGAATTTGATTGCCATTGCATAGAATATGAACTCGGAAATCGTAGACAGTGGTTCAATTAAAATCTATGCATCGAATTTTGGCAGTATTTGGTGCCCCCCTCCTGAGCTATGGTGTATCGGTTCGTTCTTTGACAGATTGGGGGTGGGGTTGTTAGCGCGTGTGCGCTGTATCATAAGGTCTGTCATTACATTGAGTTAACTAGCGTGGTTTCGATTCCCCAGTTGTACGTGACAAGGAGTTGGATGTCCTATCCAATCTCTCACTACTAAAGACTCCTATGCGCAAGCGAATTATTGAAATAAAATTGAACCATATGTTAGTCTCGAAATTACCTAGTTTGTGTTGAGTGGACATTACTCTCTCTCTCTCTCTCTCTCTCTGACAGATTGGACGTGATTAGCATTAAGCATATTATGACCCTACAGACAGCATTTGATGGCGTGTGTTGTATACACGTTGAAGATATGAATAACAGACGATCTTGACTGGGGGGTCTTGCTAGAATGATGAATTGTCTTAATATAACGGATGGTGTCACCGTGACATGAGTTTTTACAACATAAACATCCCCCATTGCTAACACAAAATACACTAATTACTTCTAGACAAAATACTTACAATTGTTGGCGTATATATAGCTCTCCTAGGATGCTGATCAGACAATTAATTCATGGATTTGTAATCATAGTCAAAGGCTAAATAAAATTGTTCCTGGTATAAATGAATATAAGTAATTTAGGACCTTATCCTAAGTGGGCGTTTGGGGATTACCGTGGATTGATTCAATGTGAATGTCGACCACAGGACTGGATTAAAAGAGGCTTTAGAACTTTCAACAGGACAATAAATGTAAAAATGTAATTAATATCATATAATATCACCTAGACTTAGGATAATTACCGGCATAAACAGGCCAGGGCATTTAAAACCGATGCTATATAAAATGAAATTAACATCTTACTTCCCGGTACCATCTGGGCTTATTAAGATATGGGGGGTGGGGGTGGATGGCCAAATGGTTAGCACGTGTTCGCTGTATCATACGGCCTGTCACTGAGTCAACTGGCGTTTCTTCCCACTGCTAAAGACCCCTACGCGCAAGCGAATTATTGAAATAAAATTAAACCATATGTTATTCCCGAAATGACCTAGTTTGTGTCGAGTGGACGTTAAACCCCCTCTCTCTCTCTGCCAACACTGGGATAGAAATGAAATGTAATAAAATGGGGTCTAACGTCCAACTGTTCTGCTCCAACTTGGCTAATATAGACGGCGCCGGGATAAAACCAGACGAGTCTCCAGTTTAGTGAGCCAGCACTCTGAACCACCATGGTCCCCACTCTTAAATTGGCTATATGGTTTGACAGATCTGTCTCAAATTTTATATCAAAACGAATCTGAACACCCCTGATACAACTATATTTACAATCTCCCAAGCGGAGTTGTCTTCCCTTGTAGTTTGCTGGATATCGAAACTTGTGGTTGGTAGAATCCAAGGTAAATAATCATCCCGAGACTTGTCTGGAGAATGCTGTATTTATGGTAAAATATTTACCTACCAGCAAAGATCTTGAATGTTATCATCAACAAAATGAAATAGAGGTCTATATTGTCGGAGAAAAAAAATGACAAATTTATGATAGGAATATAAACAATTGTGAGTAGAATTAACTTTTTGGGGCGTCCCACTGTTGGGTATAGTATGGGCGTCCCACTGTTGGGTATAGTATGGGCGTCCCACTGTTGGGTATAGTATGGGACTCCCACTGTTGGGTATAGTATGGGACTCCCACTGTTGGGTATAGTATGGGTGTTATACAATTAGGACAATTAATTGCCACAACTCAGGAAAAAATTTATAACTATTACCCCCCCCCCATCCCCATCTCCCAAAACAACAACAAAAAAAATGTCTCGGTAGAAAGCATGAGGTATTTTGACACTCCTTTGAAATGTTTATCGCCAATTTCGCCCAGGTATCATATGATTTAAGAAAGGATAAAAACTGTTAGAATTGCAATTGGTATCTAAATGAAGATAGATTGAATTAAAGTCTGGAATGACAATATGGCGTGTATACCTATAAAGCTACATATTTCTTAGCTATGAGGAGTTGGAAGATTTCCAACCAGTGTTTCATATCAATTTTTTTTATTATTTTGTATGTGAAAATGTCTGTTGTAATATCTGATGAGAAACGATCTAAGAATAGGTTTGGGTTTGTTTAACTGGAAGTTTTCTTCATCATACCAATATCCAGCGACGTGCTTTATCATCATCAATGTCTTAACCTTTGACACCCCTTACACTAGTTTTGATATACTATAATTACCTGGCTGTTACCTTGTTTGAGTTCAAAACCAACTGGATAACTTTTCTCCTTAATAACACACTCCTTAAACTACGACTTCCAACAAGAAATAAACAAACGAATGTCATACATTATAACGTTTTGCATCTCCTCTTGAAGGTTTTTGGGCGGTGCTCGTTCTCACATTTGGCATTGAAGGTTTGGTATATAAGCTTTGTAGACAAGAGTGATTATTAAACTGATGAAGTGATAAACAATTCTACCGTTAGTTGGGTTGTTTATATGAAATCTATCCGAGTTAGATAGAGGGTAGAAGTCAAAAATACCGCTCTTCTCTTCTGTTTTATTTTTATTTTTTAGACCAGGTCTGCACAAGAGAATATTTACTTTACTCGCTCAGGTGTAATATAAGGCTTTTTGCTAAGATAGCCTTGTGAAATTGAAAAACAATCCCTGTAGAGAGAAAAAAATCTTCGACCATATTGCCAGGATGTTTTGTTCGTTTTGTTATTTCTACTTAATAATACCTTTTTGTTTTTCAAGGTTATATTTTGTGTATGCTTTCGTTGATTCTCTCCGTTTGGGTTGATGCAGAGCCTTGCAGACGTGGGTTATTTTGGCTCAGTATCTGAAATTTGTACAGAGGAAACTATAAGACAAACACTTAACAGAGCATCAACATATCGCCTTCCCGTGTGTTGAAAGATTATTCAGCTTATCTTATTCTAGAAAACGTCTATATTTTTCTCTTGGAGTGTCTTCGTGCGAAAGGAATATAATATTACGTCATTCACTAGACTTCTTTATTAGATCAGAAATAAAACAGACATAACACGTGGAATAACTGGTATAAAAAGACGTAACAATCGTTATCACTCAGATAAATATTAATCAACACTATTTTAGTCCTTTTGTTTTATCTCTTCATACACCCCATTGCAATCATTGGCGAGACAAATAGTTAAAGGAGCCAAGTCGCTAATATTTGGGACCTAGAAATTGACACAAATGGGTCGCAACGCATACAATAATGTAATATGAATGTATATAAATTGATTTACATTCAATCGTTTCTGTTTTACTGTAATTTCTAATCCGTTTTATTCGGCGAAATACGCCAGTATTCTCAATCGAATTTCAATCTCTAGCGTCTGGTTTTTCCAGTCTACACCGATAGTATTTATTGGGCATGCTCTTCAGATAAGAATATAGCGTCACCGTTTGACATGACTTGTGGAATATGCCTAGGCTCGTTTTTCGAGTCCCTTATTACAATTAACACTGAAACGCATTATGGTACACGATTCGTGTACCAATTGTAAAATGTTTATTTTGTCTTAAATATTGGATATCAGAAGGCCATCTTTTCCCGGTAAGATCACAGCATCATTATTGACTTAAAGCGACAAATAAATCGTGTTTTCAATGTCGAAGATTTGGATGATATTGAGTTAGAGACTTAGCTACTTTAACAATGTGCTAAATCTAATGTTTGGAGTAAACTGTCTTCTCGGCTCTCTTTGAGAAATGGGAGTTTTATATTAACGAAATGAAATGGGGTTTAATGTCTTACCGTTCTGCTCCGAACTGGGTTAATGAAGACGGTCATATGCCATACAGTGTGCTATGAGGAAATTTTGCCCAGACAGCGCCTCTATGGTCTACTCCTATATCGAATACCAACTGTCAAAGGCTCCTTTACGTGCACGCCAATGTGTACACAGACCTCGGTTTTTTGTCCCATCCGAACGACTATACGTAGGTAGAAATTGCTAAAAAATTGTTGTTCTTGTGTTTTTACAGGCTGTGAAAATTTAGAGAGTGGTGTTGGTATTTATGCCTGTGATCCCGAGGCCTACACGGTTTTTGCTGATGTATTAGACCTGGTCATCAAAGATTACCACAAAATTCCTGACAATAAAGCCATCAAACATCCTGCCGCTGATTTTGGTGATTTGGAAAAATTGAAATTTGAAGATCTCGATCCCGAAGGAAAATTTGTTGTATCCACCAGGGTTCGCGTTGGCCGATCTCACCAAGAATATGGCTTCCCACCAATTCTCACCAAGGAGGTACTGTATTGTTTCTCTTAAATAACCATATTGTCAACACAGAGTGCAGCTAATATTTTAATTTGCTAAAATTAATTGCGTTTTGACATCACATGATGTAACTATAATCTCAAGGTATTAAGGGGGATGCTATTATTGTAGTCCGGGTATTTCCGGAGTCCAAAATGAACGCTTTATATAAATAAGTATTTTGGGGAATACTAACCCGAACCTTAACCGTAACCCTTTTAAGAGTGTTAAATGGTCAACTAGATCCAAGTTCAGTCTTCTAAAAAGGGTTAGGGTTAGTGTTAGGCCTAATATTGCCCAAATTTCTCATTTATATAAAGCGGTCATTTTGGTCTCCGGAAATACCCGAACCTCCCCAACCGGCCTACAATCAGCATCACCCATTAATTTTACTTTGTGTCAGTCTTTTGGCTAGATCATGATTTTATCATTTTTATTTTTTTTTCTGATATTCAGCAACGCGAAGATATGGAGAAGAAAACTGTTGAAGCATTTGAAGGTTTACCAGAGGCTTTAAAAGGCAAATATCATCCTCTTGATGGCATGGACGGCGACACACAAAAACAGCTTACTGAAGATCATTTCTTATTCAATGACCATGATAGGTAAGCTAGTAATCACAGCCATCGTTATTGTCAATTCTGAACTATAAGTTCTTAAATATGTTTTCTATGGACGTAGTAGGCCATCATGTTTTAGTTGAACCTCGGATATGGCTTAAAGTTTATTTTTCTTTACACGAGTACAGAAGCTGATGAATTTTGCACGTATACGTTCACATCAATATTTATTTTTCAGGTTCTTGAGATCCGCAGGAGGATATAATGACTGGCCTACAGGACGTGGTATCTATTTTAATGAAGAGAAGAACTTTTTAGTTTGGGTCAATGAAGAAGATCATCTTAGAATTATTTCTATGCAGAAAGGAGGAGACTTGGGGGCTGTTTACAAACGTCTAGTCACGGTACGCCACTGACAAACAAAATACTATATTTTAATTCATAATAACATTAACAACCTATCTTTTAGATTTACGATATTTTATTTACTTTATTAAATCTTTCCATAGTTTTAAATTGAGACTACCCCCCCCCCCCCCATTAGATAAGTTAATCGTCTATGAGTCAATATCAGATCGATAACAAACGTCTAGAGCTTTATATGAAATGTTTTATTAATTGGTAATTTTCAGGCTATTAGAAGTTTGGAACAAAAGTTAACCTTCGCCAGGAACGACCGTTTAGGATTTTTAACTTTCTGTCCTACCAACTTGGGTACCACTTTAAGAGCTAGTGTCCATGTTAAGATACCTAACCTAGCAGGACAGTCTAACTTTAAAGACGTGTGTGATAAATATAACCTACAAGCTAGAGGTAAGATTAATGCAGACGTAGATCAGGGACGTAACTAGCTCAGAGCAACGAGGGGGGGGGGGTCTCAGAGGTACTGTAAAATTGACGGACAATGTATATCTATTTTGTTACTGGTTGACAATGTTTTCACAGGGATGGGGGCGAAACTTTTTGCCCCCCCCCCACTAGTTACGGGCCAGACGAAGATGCTAATAGCGAACTAGAGTTGTAACTCCGCGGCTTCATCTTCCATTCTCACTGACAGCGAATCCCCGTATGCCGCAATCTACCCAGTCGATATTAAGAACCGATGGGGCTTGTACAGTAGTACAGTACAGGATTTATGTAGCAAAATAAGACTGAGTGGAGATAAGAGCCCAGACATCCTGTCGAAATCTGGATTATTTGTTCAAAGACAGTAACCCAATGGAATTAGTGGATAGTTTATCAAAATGTAACAAATACACAAATGAAGATATATCAATCTGAGTAAAACACAGATCCTATTTCGTTTCGTTTTTTAATAGTTCAAAATTTCGTTTTACTTGTCTTTACTACACTGGGATTTGGAAGAGTTGTTATTACCGGCGTTCTGGATGGCGTGAGGGATGAGCCAATGAAACAGTCTGTTACGACGAGTTCTTGGTGTGCGATCACAGAACTGTGGGTAAACCACTAGAAACGTCAACGCTGATTAATTAATCAATGTTTGACGTCATAGGGTCAAAAACCACTCGTACCACCCCTGACTCGACCTTCCAGTACAACCGGTCATATCGTCATGTAGTGTAGGCCATGGAAAGTATAAAAAAAAACGAAACGAAATATCGATCTGTATTCTAATCAGATTGAAGATATATACTATACAAATAAATATATAAACGTATAAACACCACTGTCCTGGGAAACTTAATACCCACTCTGCCTGTAAATAGTTATTGGTGACAAAGTGGTATTAAATGATGATTCCTCATATCCCCCAGTAAGCCAAACCCAATCTGCCCGGGCGATATTAAGAACCGACGGGGCGTGTACAGATTTATATGTAACAAAATAAGACTGAGTGGAGATACAAACGTAATACCCACTCTGTGTATAAATAGTTATTGGTGACCAAGTGGTAATAAGTGTTGATTGTGACTGTAAATCACCACCGATATCGTGAGTTTATGATATATTTGAAAGATACGCGTTTTATTGGGTTGTCAGGATTCAATCGACTACTGTATGAGATTTAATTATTAGAATTCAGAATTTGTATTTATCGGACGTTTAACTTCTATCAAATTAAGTCCACGTTGTAAATGAATTGGCTTACATTACATTACTTTTTATTTTTCTGAATTCTTCAAATAGTTTCGTTGCGTATTATCATTGCTGTGTATTATCATTATTAGCTTCGGCATTTTGTGTTTTATCTGGTATTTTTCAATCATCTTGTGTTCTAATTAAATGTGAAATGATTTTTTTTTACCATACATTTTAGTGAAAATTAATCCAGATAGTGTTAATTATGTGAAATGACTTTTATTTACCATATTTTTAAGTGAAATTTAAGCCAGATAGTGTTGATTATATAATGTTACGGGTTGTTTTTTTTTTTATTAGGTATCCATGGGGAACACACAGAAAGTGTTGGAGGTGTTTATGATGTATCTAATAAAAGACGTCTTGGTTTAAGTGAATTACAAGCAGTAACAGAGATGTATAATGGTGTTAAAGAGATTATTAAATTAGAACGGGAACTATCATGGTAAAGTTTATATCCAGAAAAAAATATTAACTTAAGAATGTTTAAAGGCCATTACCACATTCCTGTGAAAATAAATATAGTTAATGTTTAACAGTATAATATGATCACAAGCTGATTAAAAGAACAGATCCATATTTCGTTTCGTTTTCTGTACTTTCGAAGGCCTACACTACATGAAGATCTGACCGGTTGTATTGGAAGGTCGCGTCAGAGGTCGTACGAGCGGCTTTTGACCCTATGACGTCCGATATTGATTAATCAATCAGTGTTGACGTTTCTAGTGGTTTACCCACAGTTCCGTGCATCGCACGCCAAGAACTCGCAGTAACAGACCGCTTCATTGGCTAATCCCTCACTTCAACCAGAACGCCGGTAATATCACAATTCTTCCAGATCCTAGTGTTGTAAAGACAAGTAAAACGAAATTTTGAATTATAAAAAACGAAACGAAATAGGATCTGTGTTTTAACCAGATTGATATAATCACTGACACTCAAAGGTTAAGGAAGTCGAGTCACCGACTTAGTGTAATACTTTTTGACCAAGAGGTCGTTAAACTCATTTTAACCACTAAAACATTTATAGACTCTTAAAATTGACTTAAAAAAAAAAAAACATTGATATCTCAGCGATGAATTGATCGAATTGGTCCAAAGTTTGCATGGCATAAAAATCGATCACGGTCCATCCGGTAAAGATCTCCAAAGCGCTAATGCCTCTTTAAAGCCATTCTCAATCAGTGTAGATTTCTTTGTCAATGACTCCGTGTATTCAAGCTAACGAGTATATCTCTATTGATTGTTAATTTTACCGTGTGTACTAAATAATTTTCTCCGTTTTTTGTTTATGTCTTTTTTATGGATTACTGTGTTGGGATTGTTGTAATTTTATATTAGTTGTACTTATGTAAAGCGCCCGAGAGCAGCTCGCTGAGTTGAATTGTTGGCGCTATATAAATCAATTATTATTATTGTTACTACTGATATACAATGGTATAATGGAACGGGAGAGTAATATAGGATTTTTAAATGATTATTTTCTTTGATTTTTTTCTTATAAACAGGAAACCTGAATCTATTGAAGATATGTTTGACCATGTCTCTAAGGCTAAACACTGTAAATCATTAATGAAGAAATATTTTACAAAGGATGTTCTTGAAAAATTGAAAGACAAGAAGACGAGTCATGGCGCCACCTTGATGGACTGTATTAATTCAGGTACGTACCTGTTCGCCGTTACTGTCTTTGATATAATTTTGTGGGAAATATTAAAAGTGTCAGCCCTTCTTAGATACAGCTTCGTTTAGTATGGAGGAAATCCAGAAATGCAACACATACTGAACTGAAAAATGAAAATAAAAATTCCACGGAATGTAAGAAAATTGCCGCAAGTTCTGAAAATCATTTTACCTCCCACCATGACAATGATGAAGACAACAGTCATTCTGCATTGGTTTTCTGGAAAGTACAGGTCATTGAAGTACGAGGTTGGACATGCGACCCTACTCCTTGTCACGTACAACCGGGGAATCGAAACCACGCCAGTTGACTCATTGACAAACCTTATGATACAGCGCGCACTAACCATTCGCCCCCCCCCCCCCACATCCTCAGAAATAAGATGCTCTCTGGTGTAATTAATATAGACCGGCAATATTTTAACGTAGTCACGAAAATCCAGCCCAAACGTAGTCACGAAAATTCAGCCCAAATTAAAACCTTTGTCTAATTACTATATGATTGTAGGTGTAATGAATTTGGACAGTGGTGTTGGAATCTATGCTGCTGACCCCGAGTCGTATACAGTATTTGCTGATATCTTCGATCCCGTTATTAAAGATTATCACAATATGAAACCTAGCGATACTTTAGCTCACCCTGCTTTCGATCTGGGAGATGTTGAAAACCTTCCCTTTCCCGATCTTGATCCCGAGGGAGAACTCATCGTATCTACTAGAATTCGAGTTGGCAGAAGTCACAGTGAATACGCTTTCCCGCCAGTTTTAACAGCCGAGGTAAGATGTTTGGGAAATACCTTAATGAATGGGAATGTTTAAATGAAATGAGGTTTTATGACCCTGGCACATTATTGCGTATGAGAGAAACGAATGAGTTGCGTATGAAAATTAATAAAATAATTTTTTTTATACGCGCAAAATGCCCCTGCAAATACAGAATTGTTCTTATATACTTTCCGTGTTGAACCAATATGAGTAGCGTATGGGTATCGTATGAAATGCGCATGTTCAGGGTGATGCTTAGCGTATAAACGTTATAAACGGCACTCAATCGTGAGGCATACGCTAAGATGTACGATACGCCTTCATGTTAGCGTATGACCAGCATATACTTGACCTTGAGTAACGTACCTCTAGCATAACCCTTGCGTATTCTGCGTATAGCTGGCGTATGCTGAGCGTATAAACCTTACGTCCGTATACGCACTATTTTTATTTTTAAGCATACATAATGCCCGCGTATGCCACCTTAAAATATGCAGCCGTTTTTTGAAACGTTTACAACCTATGCTTAACGCACCCTAGCGTATATCAGCGGAAAAGTGATATTTTTCAATGTGCACGTCAACATTGGTTTTTCGTCCCATCCGAATGACCGGCCACTGTAGCATTACCGCCGTGGCTCCCTTAAAGACTGTGATAAAAAGGTGTTATGTACTTTTTGTTTAAATGAAGTTTATGCTGTTGTCTCCAGCAAGATTTGTTTTATTTATTGTGATAACGGTAAAATGTATTTAATATGTTTAAATGAAGCAAGATTTGTTTTATTTATTGTGATAACGGTAAAATGTATTTAATATGTATAATAGGATCGTGTCAAGATGGAAGAAAAAACAGTTGCTGCATTAAACAGTCTAACGGGAGAATTAAAGGGAACTTATCATCCTCTTAAGGGAATGACAAAAGAAATGCAAGATCAATTAACAGCTGATCACTTCCTGTTTAATGATCATGACAGGTAGGATAATACGTCACTATATATGGTACCTGGGGTAGCCCGGATGTTCAATGTACATAAAATGACATGGGGTTTAACGTCCTACTGTTCTGCTCCGACAGGGTTAATGAAGACGGGCATATGCCATACAGTATGCTATGAGAGAAATTTTGCCAGAACAGCGGCGCTACGGCCTACTCTTTTATCGAATTCAACTGACAAGGGTGCTTTTACCTGCACGTCGATTTGAGGCCTACAGGACCTCGGGTTTTCGTCCCATCGGGCCAACACCGGGATCGAATACGGGATCTCCAGGTTAGCAAGCCAACTTCAAACCACCGCACCCCCCTTCAATGTACATACACTGCGACTAAACTAAGTATCAAACTCTAAACGCTAGCCTTTTTTTTTTGGGCCTATAAAGTTTTATTACGTGTACATTTTCATGATACTTCAGTTTGGGCATGCTTTCTAAATAGTCGTTTGTGGATTTAAGGAAGGGCTTCATTATAATCATGGTTTTGTTCATTGCCCCACATGTTATTGAAATGTAACGCCAACGGTTTTATTTTGGGTCAGTTGACTTGATTTTAGAAAAAGCATGAGTTCCCCGATCAGAATAGAGTATGCACTTTATGGAATATCCCTGTTTAGAAGTTAGGCCAGATCAAATCTGACCAGAGTTGGTATAGGATATAATTTTATAAAATATTGGTTTGGATGTTTTCAGATTTTTGAAAGCTGCTGGAGGATATAATGACTGGCCTACAGGACGTGGTATCTATTTTAATTCAGAGAAGAACTTTTTAGTTTGGGTCAATGAAGAAGATCATCTTAGAATTATTTCTATGCAGAAAGGAGGGGACTTGGGTACCGTTTACAAACGCCTAGTCACGGTACGTGTAATTATTTTATTCGTTAACTGACGATTTGAATTAATGTGTTTTAATGTTGTAAGTTTCAGTGTTGAAATTCTAAATCCAGCAATGTCCTCACTAGTTGACATAAACTGATTCCGTAAAACAAATTAGTCGATAAGGCAACTGGTTTACATTGGAACAATCATCGGGGCATTAGCAATAAACGCGGATATCATTGTTTAATAGCTTGATTAAGGTGGGGTGGGGGTGTGTATACTTTCTTTTTGGCGACCCCTTTGGATTATGCGGACACTATCACCCCGAGTCGTAACGACATGATAGGCCGTGTAATCAAACCACTCAGCAATATATAAACCATTAGTACATCACTTATGAAACAAATAATGGCTAAGCTCTTTACACCGACATCGTTAATAAACTATGGTGGCTGAAACGTCCATTTAGATCGTCGTGTTTCCAGAAGTAATGTGACAGTCCTCGTTAAGACAGCGCCACAACAAACGCGACATACGACGAAAAAAAAAACCGCCATTACTTTAAAACTCGGTGAGTTAGTTCTTAACGGCATAATTCATTTTGCAAAAATATATTTCAGTAGGCATTTTGACTTTTAGAACTTCTGAACACGATACAAGACAAATTGCTCAACTGAATTTTCTAAACCTGTGGGAATGTTCATAAGAGGCAAAGGGTGGAACCCTATTAAAATTAAATTATTTCCAAACGCGTTTTGTGAAGATACATTTCCTTTCACATTTTAACTTTTAGAGATTGTGATAATACAGGATATAGTTCATCTGTAGACTTTTGAAAAACTTAGTACCATATTTTATAAGGTTGACAAATTTTAGAGGGGTTGGTTGCCATTGTTTTTAGGGTTAGGAGGAGGGGCGACTTTGATGCTCTGTTATAATTAAAGAGTATAGCTACACCAATGTATCCGAGAATTAAGTTTGCTTAAATTAGTTAAGTCTCTAACTCAATATCATCCAAAATCTTCAACATTTAAAACACGAATTATTTGTCAATTTAAAACAACATTGATGCTGTGATCTTACCGGAAAGAGATGGGCTACTGATATCCAATATTTAAGACAAAATAAATATTTTACCATTGGTACACTAATCGTGTACCATAATGCGTTACAGCCCCAGTTCTAGCAAGAGGAACGAGGCTAGACATATTGCACCAAACCAAACGGCGTATGTAGACGGGAATAACCAGACGCTGGGAATTTGCATTCGATTGAGACTGCTGGCTTATTTCACGGAACATAACTGATTTGAAATTAGAGTAAAAACGGAAACGATTGAATATAAATCAGTTTATATACATTCATATTACAGTATTATGAGTTGCGACCCACTAGTGTCAATTTCTAGGCCCCAAATGTTAGCGATTTAGCTCCTTTAAATTAGCGGTTAATGACACTGTCATCTGATATTACGAACGTAATAACACCTCAAATATCTATATGCCACTTTTTAATTCATGTTCCTGGCTTTACGAGAAGCACGACACCATATGTTCTAGCAGCCGGCATCTATACCGGTTTTAAATTACAATAATTGGATGTATTATTATATATTTGTTTGATGATATATATTTCTATTATAACCCACAGACGGCTCTACATGTATATATTAGCCATGCTTTTAAATATGATATTATTAAACCACATATAATAAAAAGGTCATATTATATGAAACTTAATCCTATAAAGACGACGATAAAGACCAGTTTGTTTGAATACAGATAACTTAAACATACATTGTGCAAGAGCTAAATTTGCCTATTGCATGTCTTTCTTTGGGCCTGAAATGTTATCTTAAATTAATAAGACATTAATTGACTTATCCAGACCATAATCAACTCTTGATGTCATCGCTAGCCTCGATATTAAATGCTCAACTCTCATTCATGATTAAATCAAGAAATTGATAATCGAGACTATGTATTTTATAGTACCGATTTTTGTAATGATGATCGAGGCTAGGCCCAAAATTCAATCGCTAAATTCTCGGTTCAGAGTGGATCATTTGACTGAAATTTTCAGCAAATTCTCTTCACATTATCTAGTTTTTAACTATTATAGTGAGAAATGCCAGCTCTTTTATCTAATCTCCCATAATGTATGTTTAATAAGTAAAATACGGTACTGGATAATCGAGACTGTATTTTATAGTACCGACTTTAGTAATGATTATCGATGATCGGTTTAGAGTGGATCATTTGACTGAAATTTTCAGCAAATTCCCTTTACATTATCTAGTTTTTAACTATTATAGAGAGAACTGCCAACTCTTTATCTAATCTCCCATAATGTATGTTTAATAAATAAAAAACGGTACTGGATAATCGAGACTGTATTTTATAGTACCGACTTTAGTAATGATGATCAATGATCGGTTTAGAGTGGATCATTTGACTGAAATTTTCAGCAAATTCCCTTTACATTATCCAGTTTTTAACTATTATAGAGAGAACTGCCAACTCTTTATCTAATCTCCCATAATGTATGTTTAATAAATAAAATACGGTACTGGATAATCGAGACTGTATTTTATAGTACCGACTTTAGTAATGATGATCAATAATCGGTTTAGAGTGGATCATTTGACTGAAATTTTCAGCACATTCCCTTTACATTATCTAGTTTTTAACTATTATAGTGAGAACTACCAGCTCTTTATCTAATCTCCCATAATGTATGTTTAATAAATAAAGTACGGTAGTCATTGTAAAATAACACCTTTTATTCTGTCAGGTGGAGATTAACCCAGATTAAACACGACTGTTAATTAAATTATTCAGTATCTACAGGTAAATGACTTAGCACCGGTAACTGTTTATTCTGTGTTTTGTATGTAACTACGTAGGTCTATATCTATAATCATGTTTTTTTTTCTTTATCAGGCCATCAAAGAATTAGGTGAAAAATTGACCTTTTCCCGAGATGATCGCCTGGGCTTTTTGACCTTCTGTCCAAGTAATTTGGGAACTACCCTCCGTGCAAGCGTACATATCAAAATCCCCCATCTAGCTGCCAAAAAAGACTTTAAAAATATCTGTAGTAAGCTCAAGTTACAGGCAAGAGGTAGGTTTTATCTAATCTTGGTTTGTCAGCTCAATATCTTTTTGTTAAGCTGTGTTATAGAATATATAGCATCTTATAGCTGATTGCGGTTGATTTTGCTTAGAAGTATTTGGAATGTGATCCTTTGGCTCTTAGAGAATTAATCTCCCGAGCACAATGCAAGTGGGGGGTGGGGGTGGGGGCAAGGTCGCTTAGTGGGTGAGAGGTTGGTTCGTTAACCTGGAAGTCCCGTGTTTGCCGAGAAAGTTCATCGGGATTTTCCGACGTGTTTCCTCCTTGTCAGTGGTTGTGGACCGATGGTCTGGCAGGGGACAACGTATAGTCGTTCGGATGGGACGAAAAACCTTAAAGATCCCTTGGCAGTTGGAATTCGATATGAGAGTATAAGGCCGTAGCGCGGTTGATTTTGCTTAGACGTATTTGGAATGCGATCCTTGGCTCAATCTTTGAGAATAAATCCCCCAAGCTCAATGAAAAGTACAAGTGGCTCAGTGGGTAAGACGTTGGCTCGCTAACCTGGAGTTCCCGTGTTCGATTCCAGCCTTGGCCGAGAAAATTAATCGGGATTTTCCGGCGTGCTTGGTTCCTCCTTGTCAGTGGTGCTGTGAGGGCCTGGCAAGGGACATCGTATAGTCGTTCGGATGGGACAAAAAACCTTAAAGATCCCTTAGCAGTTGGAATCGATATAAGAGTATAAGGCCGTAACAGTAGGACGTTAAACCCCATTACATTTCAATGCATGTGGAAGTCAGTTCGAGGAAACTTTTAGTGATATTTTCTATCCTTTCCTCACAGCATTGAAATCTTTTTACAAAAATAGGCTATTGAATTCTAGTAGCAATGTAATGACAAACCTTGTCCACATGCCACTATCATTACGAATCATTATCCCTATGTTATATGTCAGGCCTTCAATATTATTACCGTTTTATAACCAGGAGGCCCGTGTTCGATCCCGGTGTTGGCAGAGACAGTTCATCGGAAATTTTCCAGCGTGGTTCCCCCTTTTCAGGATGGGACGAAAAAACCGTGGTCCCATGTACACATTGGCGTGTACGTAAAAGAACCCTTGACAGTTGAAATTCGATATAAGAGTAGGCCGTTGTGCCGATGCCCGTCCAAAATATCCCTCAAAGCACACTAAATATATGGCGTATGCCCGTCTTCATTAGTTCCCCCTTGTCAGTGATGCAGGACGGAGGGCCCGACAAGGACAGCTGTCTAGTCCGTCGGATGAGACGAAAAACCGAGGTCCCGTGTATATATTGGAATGCACGTAAAAGATCCTCTGGCAGTTGGAATTCGATGTAAGAGTAGGCGATAGTGCCGCTGCCCGGGCAAAATTTCCCTCAGCACACTGGATGGCGTATGCCCGTCTTCATTAGCCCAGTATAGGAGCAGAACAGTAGGACGTTAAACCCCATTTCATTTCTTTTCATTTCCGTCTTCATTAGCCCATTCGGTGCAGATCCGTAGGACGTTAAACCCTATTTCATGTCATTTCTCATTTGTGAAAGTCTTTTTAATTGGGCTCTATAAAACTATAAAATTGATTTCACGTTCGCAAATCACTGAATTGTTGTAATACATTACAGGTATTGATGGTGAGCATACAGAAAGTGTTGGTGGAGTTTACGACATTTCAAACAAAAGACGTCTCGGTTTGTCGGAAATTGATGCTGTGAAGGAGATGTACCATGGTGTTCAAGAAATCATTCGTATGGAAAAAGATCTTGCGGCCGGCAAGGGAACCAAGTCATCATCATGCGTCGTATTGTAACAGGGCCGATAACTCTTGTTTTGCTCAGCTTTAAATTCATAATTTATTTTATTACAAAATGGAAAAATATCATAACATCCGGATAGGGAATCGTCTATTTGTTCACTTTTATACCTTTCGAACTTCAATTTGTTTTTAAAAAAATAAATTTAAACAAACAGTGATTAATTAATTGTATGACTTGAGGGATGGCAAATCATACCAAGTAACCTTTATAATTTTGTTACCCGAATACAATGCCCTGTCCAAGATACATTTTCTTATTAAAAATAATTTATTAGTTTTGATTGAGTCAAATTGGTATTTATGCGGTACAGTCTGTATCACCCTAATACATTATTATTGTTCGGTATTGTCACTGTCTATATATAATATTGTGTTTTTGAATGAAATTAATCAAATGATATATAAAATTATATGTACAATATACATGTAATGTGGAGGTAATTGTCTCATGATCAACTTTATGTACACATAATACTGTAGTAGATCTACCGATGTTGCTTTCTCAGTGTAATTAAGTGCCAAATTGTTTGTTCAGCTGTACTAATAGATTAGGAAGTGTTTAAGAGGCGCCATCAGGTTTTCCCCTCTTTGAAAGAGTTGATAGTACACCCTAAAACATTTTCGATAAAACTAATTACCGTTCAGCATTTGAAAAAACGTTCAGCATTTGAAAGGCGTTCAGCCTTTGAAATGACGTTCAGCATTTGAAAAGACGTTCAACATTTAAAATTTGAAATGACGTTCAGCATTTGAAAAGACGGTTCAGCATTAGAATGACGTTCAGCATTTGAAAGACGGACATTTTTAATTTAGGGGATTCGGTGTGGGGAAAATGATTTAAAGTACGGAATGATTGAAAACTATCGAATGTTGGACCAATATTATAGTTGAAATTTGATTTTGATTGTGGTGAGTTGCTTTTTACTAATAATTACTGAATAAAAAATGCACTGTTTCAATATGTGACTACTTGAATTATGAAATCTGTAGGCTTTGGGTGGATAATGTTTCTATATGGAGTTTGTATATAGATATTATATTGTGTATATCTACATTAGGTATTAATTTCTATTAAAGATTAAAATACAAACTGTAGTTTATATAATTGTATATAGATATATTGCACAGTTCTTGGTGGGATATATAAAATTATTATAGTTTATTTATATTTATTATATGTGTGGTAATTATTATAATTATTGTCTACAATATATGTATGTCTATATATTTATAATCTTTTGAAAAAATTTAAAAAATGGTACATGAAAGACCCGTATAACCCTGAAAGTTCTTTTATTTTCGGATAAGTTAATCGTTTGTATAATCCCTCTAAAAAGTTTTATGGCAGTTAACCTATATGATTAATTTATAGTTAAGAATTTGAAGTCAAAAATGAATTTGATCATTATAAAAGTATTAGAATATTAATAGAATTTGTATGTTTTATATACACCAAGGTATTATGACCATATTTGATAAGACCCGTATAAACCTTCAAGTTGTATTTTCGGATAAGTTAATTCTTTGTATGGCATCCCTATGGAATCTTAATCCCTCTAAAAAAATTATGACAGTTAAAATATTTGATTAAATTATTATTAAGAATTTGAAGTCAAAATTGAATTTGATCATTATAAAAGTATTAGAATATTAATAAAATTTGTATGTTATATACATCAAGGTATTATAATCATATTTGATAATATTTAATATGCATATAGTTATGCAATTTTTGAATGTATGTTAATGTTATAATGATTTTGTTAACATAATTTATTTGTGTTTGATACGCATGCCAGTCATAACAGTTATTAAACATTTTCAATTTTTACCAATCTCTGTTTTTCATTGGTAATGACGATGGGCATATGCCATGCAGTGTGCTGTAAGGGGAATTTTGCCCGGATAGCGGCGTTTCCACCCGCTTTTCGTCGAATACCAACTGCCAAGAGTTCTTTAACGTGTACACGGGTCCTCGGTTTTTCGACCTACAGGAAGGACTAGACACTGTTCTTAATTACCAAGCCCATCTTCCTGGGCGACAATTTGACTAGTATATAATTGGTATATATCACAATCTCTCTTCAGCCTCGCGATGTTGCCTTCAAATCATTGGTATTTCTTCATCTTTAGCTTGGCCAAGAACTGTTCACGTAAACTGATATCGTCTGAAGCATGGTTATGTATATTCCGAAAGCTGGTGTTGAGTTTTTTCAAGGGAGTCCTTGTGGTATCGACAATTATGAGCTGGGCTGTAACTATAGATCAGAGCAACGAGGTGGGGGTGAGGCGGGAGGTGTTCCCAGGGGTTCTGTAAAATTGACTGACAATGTATATCAATTTTTTTATAGTCAACAATTTTTTCACGGGGGGGGGGGGGGACTTTTTGCGTGGATTAACGTGCGTGGGTGGGGCCCCTGGTTGTAATTTAAATAATGGTCCTTAAGTGTAAGTAAACAAGAAATTCTATTGGACTGAATTGTACCTAGCTAGACTGCATTTCATCAACATACTTATTATTTGTTGCATGTCAGCCACGGTGACACGGTGTTGGGGGAGCTAGCTAACTTTTCTAGAAGGGCTAGAATTGTCAGATCTAAATATTATGGCCACTTGCATATTTCGTCAAGGTAACGAGATGTAAACAGGATTAGGGCACGTGATTGTTACCGAGGATTGTTGGTAAGGGTTAGGGTCAGGTCTTGGGGTAGAGTTAGGATTAGCGCTAGTCCTCTTTACATCTCGTGACCTTGACGAAATCTGCAAGTGGTCTTAATACTTAGATCTAATATATAGTAGGTCGCGAGTTATATATTAGTTTAGAGACAGAGAGAGTGTGTGAGTGGGTTTGCGTGTGGGTGGGTGTCTTTAAAAATGATCGCCCAATAAAGCGATACCATCATGGTGATATAGGTGTGCAATGGATGTTCACATTTTGGAAAGAATAGTGTGCGCTTGAACCCATTCAGGGCTATCACGGTGGCTAAGTGGGTAAGATGTTGGCTGACTAAGCTGAAGGTCACGTGTTAGATCCCTGCATTGGTCGAGAAAGTTCACTGTGATTTTCCGACGTGGTTTCCCCTTGTCAGTGGTGAAGGATGGAGGGCCTGACAAGAACAGCTGTATAGTCATTCGGGTCAGACAAAAAACCAAGGTCCCGTGTATACATTGGCGTGTACTAAAAGATCCCTTGGCAGTTATAATTCGATATAAGAGTAGGCCGTAGCGCCGCTGCCCGGGCAAAATTTCCCTCATAGCACACTGTATGGCGTAATATGCCCGTCTTCATTAGCCCAGTTTAGGAGCAGAACAGTAGGACGTTAAACCCCATTTCATTTCATTTTGAACCCATTCACCCCAAAAGCACGTGAGAGTGTTTTGTTTTGCGCATTACCCTTGTTTTGTCTGTTCAACAAAGAAATTATTTGCCAAAAATGTAAAGTTAAAATTTGATTTCATAACATCTCGTCTGTGCAGTTATTCAACATTATTTACAGTCGGAATCCTTCACTACTGGTCTGGTTTTTCGGATTATGGAATTTATTTACATTGCACTCAAATGATTTGAAGCAACCCATCGTCCGCGAATGTCTCCACTCACTCATTGTAGTTCTCCAATCATGAAATTATGATTATTCAGTTTTGTATTCAGGAAAAGCTAAGAAATAAAGGCTAAATCAATTTGTTAAGACCATCTCAATGTTTGACCAGGTCGCTGAGACATAAGGTTAGCGCACATGATTGTTAGCTAAATTGTAGGTTAGGATTAGGGTAAGCATTGGGGCTAGGTCCAGGATTAGGGTTAGAATTAGCGCTAGCCCTGTTTACATGTCGTGACCTATGACTAAAAATTGAGCTGACCTTATCATTAGCACTAACCAAGAAATAAATATGTTCATAAAACATTGATTTCCTTTCAAGGTAAATGGGTGAGCACTTTTTAAGTACCGTACTGATTAAGTTTGACGTGTTCTAACTGACGGGGCAATAAATGGTCGACTTTAGCGGCAGGTTCACCGACCCGTTGACACTTGGTCTCATTTCGCCGGGCACAGCGAGGTTAAACCGACCGATGGTATAAATGAATAAAAGACCCGTTAAAACGCCATGCAGGGCCGTTTTTAGAAAATGCGGGACCCAATTTGGGAGGTCCGAAGTTGTAACAGGATAAGTAACGCAATGTTTGGTCCTCTCAGAGCCATCTCAATTTTTCAAAATATTTCACACATCCTATATACATGTATATATAGGCTACCATCTCTGTCGAATGAGTTCGAATGACATATGGTAGCAAATATATTAACCCTATATCTAATCTTAAATAATTAAGACCATAATTACATAAGAATACTAACTAATTGAGAGTTATAGCGGAGATTATCGTGAACACGGCTTATGTCATTCATCTATTGTCATAGTGACATGCCAGTCGAGATCACGTGTAGGCCTTCTGGAAAATCAATATCAGCAATGGCTGTGTAAGGAACTCATTAATATCATTATCAGGAATGGTAAAAACAAGATGGCGTAGCAGCTGAAACACTGCCTCTCTCGACTGGGCATCATTTTAAGAAGACCAAGTGTTTGGAGTGAATTGATTTTAAGAAATTGATTTATTTTGCAAGTTGTATTTTCAAAATTAAAAAGAAACGCCGTTAATTAGTAAAATTCTTTTGCAATCCGACAAGACACTGCGTTCTAAGTTGCGATATCGATTCCACGTGACAGAAATTTAACGTTCTTATTATAGGAGTCTAGTCTTAAAAAAGATACAGTATGGACAATTACGCTTTCTCCTTTGCAACTCCTGGATGGCCCAACAAAATAAGAGCATTTTTGGCACAGTTTTCCGACTTTTTCAGCGCATTTGCCAAACACATAGCTCCAACATATCATCATGACAGATGCGAACGGTAAGTTTTTGTGAATGTATGTGTTTTTTTTTATGTCGGGTTGTTTGTCTTTTTTTACATAGAATGATAGGCCTAACTAATTAGATTATCAGCTAAACATTATAAATTTGGAATTAGGACATTGGCAATAGCGAAACATTATTGTAGAGCCTAAAGAAAAGACGAAATCTTAACAATTTTTAGAGTTTAGAAGTTGGCCTATTAATTTTGAGACTTCTTATTAGAAATTTGGCATTTAAAAGAATTTATCTATCTAGACATAGATATAATCTCGAATTATTTATTGTGGGTTTATTCTTTCAATTACTGCATGGTAATGGTAATAATTTTTTCAATCCCGCAAGACACAATTAATTACATCCAAATCTGTAATGCGAAAGCGTATAGCTGCTGATCGGTTTGGGAACATCCCTTTTTCACATTTTCTCGGGTCCGCCCATTGAATGTAAAGTTCCGGGTTCCGGTACTTGCGCATGCGTAATATGCTTCATCGAGAAAAACAACAAAAATCAGAAGTCGTGTCATCATGGCACGTGAAATCGAGTCGTAAGTTGTTAATTTGTAATAATTTATGTCTAAACCCTTATCTGAATCAAACACTGTTATAGCACCGTAAAATGATTCTTTGCAGTAACAGACTGTAGCATGCAATAACAGCTAATGAGGTGCAATGTCAGCGAGTGAGAATGAAACATCGAACCCAAAGGCTGGGGGAAAGAAAGCAAAAGTAAACACACACTGACACAGCGAATTTCAAGAGTTCGTGAGCCAGAGCTCCAAGTCATCATATAATTTTTACTGTAATATGCCTTTTAATTGAGTAGTGCTACCTTATATAAAAATTAAAAGATGAAGGACCAATTTTATTTCACCATTCAAAAATATAATGTAAATGAAATGAAATGTATTGATGCTTCAACAAATGGAGTTTAACGTCCTACTGTTCTGCTTCGAACTGGGCCAATGTACACTGGACCTCAGTATTTTGTTCCATCCCAACGATTGTACGTTGCCCCTTGCCATACCCTTCATCCTGCATCACTTACAAGGCGGAACCATGCTGGAAAATCTGGATGAACTTTCTCGGCCAATGCAGGGATCGAACACCCGATCCCTCTCAAAAATATGTAACATTTTGCAATTATTTTCTTTACAACTTTTTTTTAGTGATCATCCCATAATCTTTTCACCTATAAAACTTGTATTGAAAGAATACTATAAGTGGACTATAAATTAAAGACTTTGAGATAATCTGATAGTCATAGTTAGTGATGCTGTACCGATATAATACATGTATGTTTGCTACAATTGGTTGCCTTTTATTCTCGGAAAAGCATTTCTTATAAATGTGTGATTTTTTATTTTTTAATTATGACAAAATAAACATAGGCCTACTTACAATGGGCTCTGTTTATAATTATGTTGTGGCAAAACTGTATTACAACCACAAATATTGTCTGTTAAATTAGTCAAGCAATGTTTTTCACTTTCAAATGCATGAACCGATTTAACACTGTTTATCAGACTCAGAGCTATAATTTTTTCTGGTCAACTATTGTCTCATCTGTGATTGGGTAACAAAGTGTTGTTTTTTTTTGTATCTTAATGCTATACAATTATGGATTCCTACACAGTTCCCAATCCCATGTCTCACCCACTATATCTTACACAGAACTATCATTCATCTGTTTTCACCATCTCATTATTTTAGGGAGTTGGATGGCTGAATGGTTAGCACGTGCGCGCTGTATCATAAAGCCTGTCATTGGGTCAACTGGGGTGGTTTCGAATCCCCGGTTGTATGTGACAAGGAGTAGGGTTGCCTGTCCAACCTCGTTGGTTTTCTCTGGGTCCTCTGGTTTCCTCCCTGCCACTGCTAAAGATCACTACGTGCAAGCGAATTATTGAAATAAAATTAAACCATATGTTAGTCCCGAAATGACCTAGTCTGAGTCGAGTGGACGTTGAACCCCATTTCTCTCTCTCTCTCTCTCATTATTTTATATTTGATTGATCAAGAATTTGTTTTCAAGGAATTTTGGTTATATCTCAAAATAATTTTTGTCCCCAATTTTTTAAAAAGAAATAAAAGTTTTTTGACAAATGTGTAATTTGTACTTGTCTCATGTCTAAACTTGAGATTTTTAATATTAAATTTGGATGTAACATTAACGAGAAATTATTATTTTGAGATGTAATCAAAATTCCTTGACATCAAATTCTTGATCATTTGTTTATTTGTATTGTTCTGATGTTAATCTATTAAACTTATAGATTGGGGAACAAAGTTTCGACCATGGCCATGGTTTGCCAGACAATTTATATTCTATAATTTACATGTCTTGGAATGAATTGTACATGTACATGACAATAGTCTCTGCATGACATAATAATAAATAAATCTTTATTCAGTATATCAGGTCATTGACTCATAATACAGTGACATTTATTATAACAAATGTATATATTTGCAATACGAAGAATATAATATATACATTAATAATGTTCAAGTTTTTTCCAATGACATATCTAATAGACTAATATCTAACTAATATGTTATTTCATTTGCATTTTAATGGGAAAAACTTTTGTGGAATAACATTTATATCAATTTTCCGCATTTGCAATGTTTTTAAATTTCTGTAATACAATTCATTTAATATTTTAAAGTTTGTAAACGCGATTTGAGCAATACAGGAATCCCTTACAACACAATCTACAATATGATAACAGTTGAATCTCAGCTCCGTATAAATAAGCCCAATGCCATCTTTATCATTTATATTTTGTGAAATTTAATTGATGGGTCTCCTGTTTTTAATCCCGGAGATTACTAGTTTTAATACCCTGATTCTTAGTACATGTTCGTATTATCATTATTAGCGTGGATTAAGGTGTGAGAAATTTGATATTTTCCATATAAAGTGCAAATCATGCTCAGTTACTTGAAGTACTGAGGAATCCCCAGTTGTGCGTGACAAGGAGTAGGGTCGCCTGTCCAACCTCGTGGGTTTTCTCCGAGTCCTCCGGTTTCCTGCCACTGCTAAAGACCCCTACGCGCAAGCGAATTATAGAAATAAAATTGAACCATGTGTTAGTCCTGAAATGACCTAGTTTGTGTCGAGTGGACGTTAAACCCCATTTCTCTCTCTCTCTCTCTCTCTTGAAGTACTGAGTTAAAGATACATTATGGGAGATTAGATAACGAGTTGGCGGTTCTCACTATAATAGTTAAAAACTAGATAATGTAAAGGCAATTTGCTGAAAATTTCAGTCAAATTGATCCACTATGAACTGAGAAATAAGCGATCGGAAGTTCCGCATAGCCTTGGTCATCATTACTAAAGTCAGTACGACAAAAATCATAGTCTCGATTATCCATTAAATCATTAAATCGAAAAGGAAAGTTATGCAGCAAATCGGATCATAATCCAACAATTATCGTAGGCTAGCAATGACATCGAGAGTTGATTATGGTCTGGATACGTTAATTAATGTCTAATTAATAGTTTATATAACATTTCAGGCCTAAAGAAAGACCTACAATAAGCAGACTTAGTTCTTGCATAATGTATGTTTAATATAAGAATTCACATGATTCTTTAACTAGCAGCGCTCCATGGAATAATGGTAGGGATGATGGCAATACAGTTAGTTTGTAGTATTTACAATTATAATATTCTGAATCAATTGCTAGATAATAATGTCACATGTACGTACTATACAAGGTAGATTTTGTCACAGATGGTTTGGTTTTGTATTAAATGTAAATTTGTATCAGTAGCTGGAGGCAAGTCTTTACAAAAACTTATGTGTAATATACAGATTAACCAACCTATTGATTGTTGATACTCTAAGTTACATGTACCTAGATCTATTCATAGGCGATATATATACAACACTTTACCACCAACCACTTACACAAGTGTTTGCAGTTGGTGTTATATCTAATAACTGCACCATGTGTTGAAGGAATGAATTAGTGAGTCAATATGTGACAGGCTGAACATATAGTTTTATCAATAGACCTAGGCATATAACAAATTTAATTTATTTTAGGTCAGATGGTCTTTTTAACAGGCTGATCAGTTATGACATTAACGAACAATTGTGTTTTAATTAGGCACTCAAACTGTTTATCCTTTTTTTATTATTCTTATTTTTTTTTTTTTACCAGTACTGCCTATTTCTCAACGTCTATAACAGATATTGATCTAGAGTTTAATTTTCTTGCGTGTTATGGTTAGTGCTTAAAGATGCATTATATAAGATTTAGATAAAGAGCTGGTCGTTCTTGTTATAATAGTTCCAAAATAGGCCTAAATTATAAAAAAATGATATATTGAAAAGTTCATTCAAATTATGTTATTCTGAACAACATTTGAAGTTTTGACAAGATGTACATGTTGCATACAAGTAGATTTTTTTATTATTGTAGCAACAATACTTGACAATCGAGACTAATCCTCGATTCACCATTTTTTAGTTAAATTATTAAATGGCAATCTTGTTTCAATCCATTTAAATCTCGGCCTTCCGATGATCTAGAGCAGTGGTTCTCAACCTTTTTTTGCCAACAGCACACCTTGGAACACATGAAAAAATAGCAACACACCTGGCTAAATATATATGAAAAATATTTGAATTTTGCAAAATAAAAACATGGCAAGTCATAGATGGAATACAACCGTAGACACAGACTAGTCATAAACACGTAGAATGATTCAAACTAAATAAAGAAAAACACAGTAGGCACCAGTGAATACTCATTTGGGATCACATGGTTTTTTCGCAGTTTCTTAGTGTGCCGTTCACAGTTTCGCGACACACTTAGGAAGATCTTGCTGCGGCACACTAGTTGAGAATCACTGATCTAGAGAGTTGATTATAGGCTTGTCATGTGAATAAAGGTCTTATTAATAATTTATATAACATTTGTATCCAAAATAAAATTTGTAATAGGCAGATTTAGCTCTTATAATGCATCTTTAAATATATTTCGAAAGTGGTCGATGCTCAAAATTAAACAAGTTACATTTTCGAAGATCTAGAGACAAGATCAAGAGTAGATTTTGAAACTTCTTTATTGACTTTTTTTGATCAAATACTAAAAACAAGTTGTTTACGGGTCATTTTTTGTATTTGTTGAAATTTGAGAATTTCACCTACAACCTACGGTACATATTTGAATATTTATATATCTGATTCAAGCAATTTTAGTTTCATTCAGGGTTATCTCCCTTTATTTTGCCCACTTTTCTGTCAGTTTTCTAACCCTTATTGCACTTTTCTGAAACTTCTTAAATATGGAAATAATGGTTTTACATGTAACTGACAGAATGTCAGGCATTAAATAGTAAATAGTACCTGACATTTTCAACTTAGTGTCGGACATGTATTAATAATATCAATAAAAAAGACAAATCAGTGCCAGACAAAATGGCAGGCACCAGAGGCTTAGTGCCTGACAAAGCCTGAATCTGTGCCTGACATTTTCAGTGACAGGTGCCTTATTTCCAGGCTTGCGGGTCAGACAGATGCTGGCAGAATAGTTTAACTGGTTTCACAAATACTACATATACATGTACATGTACGATTATTGTGAATACTACATGTACACTCATCGGTCTTCAAATAAACCCAGTTGTTTCAACTACATGTACATGTAGCTTATACATGTATATATGGCGATTTAAATGGCATTTTGTTAAATTTGATTTTTGTTTTGTTTTTTTTCAGATCAGTACAGATGCGTCTGTATTCTCTCAACAAGAGACAATTTGTACTGGTGTTTGTAACATTTTTTGCTTGTTTTGGAATATGTTTATTGATAGGATTGGCAGGTAAGTTACAGTATTAATTATAAAGATAAAGAAGTATTTCTGTTATATTATACTACATGTATCTAAATTTATTATCAACCTTAGTATTATTATAACAGGAAAACCATTTATTATCTACTACAATGCATTGTTTGTATTAATTCTGTGTGCGCACTGTATCATAAAGTCTGTCATTGAGTCAACTGGTGTGGTTTCGAATACTCGGTTGTACATGACAAGGAGTAGGGTCGCCTGTCCAACCTCGTGGGTTTTGGTTTCCTCCCACTGCGAAAGACCCCTACACGCAAGCGAATTATTGAATTAAATCAAACCATATGTTAGTCCCGAAATGACCTAGTTTGTGTCGAGTGGACATTAAACCCCATCTCTCTCTCTCTCTCTCTCTCTCTCTCTCTCTCTCTCTCTGTGTATTAATTCATTAATTCACTAGAAACTATTTATGGAATAACAATTACTGGTTTATGTTATCACTTGCTTGACAAACACCAGAGTATCCATCATTAAAATGCTGCATGTTAATATACCTGTAATTGTTATTCCATAAATAATTTTTAGTGTGTTACTGTCCAATAGTTTATGCCACTTAAAGAAATTCATTTCTTGTTATGGAAAATCAATGTGTAACTCAATATGCACAAACAAAATGGTATATACATACAGTATGCCACGAGAAATATTTTGCCTACTTTTATACTGAATTCCAACTGCGAAGGGATCTTCAACGTGAACACCTATGTGTATACAGGACCTTGGTTTTTAGTTCCATCCAATTGACTAGACAGCTGTCCTTGTAAGACCCTTCCGTTCTGCGCCCCTGACAAGGGGAAAGACAAGGGAAAACCACGCCAGAAAATAGCAATGAACTTTCTCGGCCAACACTAGAACAAACCCGCAATCTCCAGGCTAGTGAGCCAGCGTTTTACCCATTTAGCGACCGTGTCTCCCGAAAATTTGTATAAATCTGTATTTACTAGAAATGCTACTTTGATATTTCAGGTCCACCTATTATTGAGACTGTAGATATTAATACATCCAAACTTTTACCCAAACCAAAAGACTTTAAGGTATGAATTAATTAATAAAATTTCTGTATTATTGTACTTTTGTACATGTAACATTATGCATCTTTAAATTAAATATGTTTTGTTGCCTGGCAACCTATCTTTACAGTTTGTTCCTGAAATGTGATCCTTTTAACTTTATTTAAAAGTCAACCACATCCGCAACCAATGTAAACAATAAAGACATTTTAAAAAAAATTTAAATTAAAAAGTTTATGTGTATAGAGTTATTGAATTACATCTATTTTAATGATATTATATTAAATTACAGAGAGGACCATTTGTGTTACCCTCACCACCAATGTCTACATATCATCAACAGCTGTGGTTAGTTGCTCATATAAAAACAGATAATGTTGGAGGTTAGTTAAACATTCATTATGTAACAGTTAAATCTGCCTATTGCACATCTTTCTGTATGCATTAAAGGGGGGGTTAGATGGCCGAAGGGTTAGTGTGTGCATGCTGTATCTGTCATTGAGTCAAATGATGACAAGGAGTGGAGGTTAAACCTCATCTCTCTATCTCTCTTTCTCTGAAGATTCCCCGGGGTTGTACGTGACAAGGAGTAGGTTCAACTGTCAAACCTCATGGGTTTTCTCCGGGTTCGCAGGTTTCCTCTCACTGCTAAAGACCCCTGCTTGCACCGAATTGTTGAAATAAAAGTGGACCATATGTTAGTCCCGAAATGACCTAGTTTGTGTCGAGTGGACGTTAAACCCCATTTCTCTCTCTCTCTTTAGCCTAATAATGTTATACTTTATAAACTATTAATTAGACATTTATTAACATGACAAGACCATAATCAACTCTCTATGCCATCTGATGGGTACAATTTTAAACAGATTTAAATCTGATCTACGATTTAACGGCTATTCATGATTAACCGTAAAAATGGATAATCAAGACTTTGTTTATTGATCTTTTAGAGGCATTTAGTAACTGGATAGAGCAATAAACTATAACACATACTTATGGAAGAACAATTACTGATTTATTTGGGCGACGTTTCGAAGAGTATTCTCTCAACTTGAAAACGTTGAGAGAATACTCTTCGAAACGTCGCCCAAATAAATCAGTAATTGTTCTTCCATAAGTATGTGTTATAGTTTATTACTTTGTTTATTATCATAACAATGGTTACAAAGACAAATGAGGCTACAGTGTTTTTAAAATTCAGTGGGAGTTGGATGGCCTAATGGTTAGCACATGCGTGATGTTTCATAAGGTCTGTCATTGAATCAACTGACGTGGTTTTGATTCCCCAGTTGTACGTGACAAGGAGTAGCGACAACTGTCCAACCTCATGGGTTTTCTCCGGGTCCTCAGGTTTCCTCCCACTGCTAAAGACCCCTACGCACAAGCGAATTATTGAAATAAAATTGAACCATGTGTTAGTCCCAAAATGACCTAGTTTGTGTGGAGTGGATGTTAAACCCCATTTCTCTCTATCTGCTTCTTGGGAGATTGGGTGGCCGAATGGTTAACGCATGATCAGAAGGTCTGTCATTTAGTCAAGTGGTTTCAATTTCCCTCTTGTACATGACAAGGAGTCGGGTAGCCTGTCCAAACTTGTGGGTTTTCTCTGGGTCCTCCGGTTTCCTCCCACTGCTAAAGGCTCCTACGCACAAGCGAATAATTGAAATGAAAGTGAACTATATGTTAGTCTCTCTAATTCTTTTTTTGAAAGTTTTTGTGATTGAATTTATTGTGTATATTTTGTGTAGGTTCTAATTTTGAACAGCCATTTATGATGGGTATACGGATTCGTGGTATAGATGGTGATGATCAAAGTGTCGTCAAAGCCGATAATCCCACATTGAGTGGTGCAATGCATAATAGATCTAGAAAATTGAAATGTAAGGAGGTAAGTACATGTAAAAGATCAAGATCTATATTTCGTTTTTTTATACTTTCGATGGCCTACACTACATGAAGATCAGCGTTGATGTTTCTAGTGGCTTACCCACAGTTTATGCATCGCACGCCAAGAATTCACCGTAACAGATGGTTTCATTGGCTAATTCCTCACGCCATCCAGAATGCATGTAATATACATGTAACAACTCTGTCTAATTGATTCTGTAATGGGGTCACAACCCCTTCATTAAACCCTATTCTATTGTTTAAAGGCCAGTGTAGAGTTATTTCTGCAGTTTGTGGTTGTACTGATGGTATTGTGTTGTTATGTATTTAATGTTTTGTTGTTTCAGCAATGTAGAGATATGATATTAATGCATCTGGGTTACCTAGATTTTGCCAAGTATATAATTACCATTACATTTTATGGTCTAGAGAATGCCAAGTTTGAAATAAAAGATATAGATTTCGCTGTGAGTATTTTTTTTTAATTTTGTGTGAATATTATATATGTAGGTTGTGTATTTACATGTATTATTTGTTAAATGAAGGTCAACTATACTTATATCCTGCCTTTCATGGTTACAAACATAAAAGTGATAATCTATATAAACACAAGGACCGAGACGCCCTCTCAATCCACATCCGTTATACAAGTCTTATGAGTCAGACATTATTTTGTAGAATGAATCAACTAAAAGATTTACAGTTTAAAGATGCATATAAATTATTATTTAGACGGATATTTACATGACACGCCTATAATCAACTCTCTAGATCATCGGATGGCCAAGATTGAAATGGATTTCAGCATCCACAAGATTTGAAAATTTATTGATTAAATGGATAATCAAGACTTAGTAGCTATGATACTAAACAATCTATGCTTCATCTCAACCAAAACTACAAACACCCATAACAATTTGATCGAAATTTTCAGGGGGATCACGTGGCTAAGTGGGTAAGACGCTAGCTCGCTAGCCTGGAGGTCGGGTGTTCGATCCCTGCATTGGCCGAGAAAGTTCATCCAGATTTTCCGGCGTGGTTCTCCCTTGTCAGTGATGCAGGACGGAGGGGCTGACAAGGAAAGCTGTCTAGTCGTTCGGATGGGACGAAAAACCGAGGTCCCGTGTACACATTGGCGTGCACATAAAAGATCCCTTGGCAGTTGGAATTCGATATAAGAGTAGGCCGTAGTGCTGCTGTCCGGGCAAAATTTCCCTCATAGCACACTGTATGGCGTATGCCCGTCTTCATTAGCCCAGGTTAGGAGCAGAACAGTAGGACGTTAAAACTCCATTTCATTTCATTTCATTTTCGAAATTTTCAGTGTATTCATTTTTCATATTTTTGAGCTATTATGGCGAGAACTGTCAGCTTTTTATTTAATTCTTACATAATGCATCTTTAATTATGTGGGTGATTAGATGGCCGAATGATTAACAGGGGCATGTTGTATCATACAGTCTACCATTGAGTCAACTGGCGTGGTTTCGACTCCCTGGTTGTACTTGTGGGTTTCCACTGGATCCTCCGTTTTCCTCCCACTGCTAAAGACCCCTACGCACATGCAAATTATTTTTAAAAAAATTGAACCATATGTTAGTCCCAAAATGACCTAGTTTGTGTCGTGTGGAGGTTAAACCCCATCTCTCTTTGATTTACATACCTCATCCACTTGAATCTGTTTGGGAGGCTCCTTTAATGAAACACAACCCCATTGTAGCCCATCTAGTAAATGTTGAACATTTATAAAATGCAAAAATGTAATAATTGTACTTGCTTAGAAGTTGTTGGAGAAAACAATGTAATATTCTATTTTCAGTTTAAAAGTTATAATACATCATTTACACAGATAGAAATATGGATACGTTTTATATTTTTGGTGATGACTTTCTTTGCTACAGTAAGTATAATTATTATGTGAAAAATCTATAAGTGTTTAGGGAGCTACGGTGGCTAAGTGGGTAAGATGCTGGCTCACTAAGCTGAAGGTCACGTGTTAGATGCCTGCATTGGTCGAGAAAGTTCATTGTGATTTTCCGACGTGGTTTCCCCTTGTCAGTGGTGCAGGATGGAGGGCCTGACAAGGACAGCTGTCTAGTCATTTGGGTCAGATAAAAAATCAAGGTCCCGTGTATACATTGGCGTGTACGTAAAAGATCCCTTGACAGTTGGAATTTGATATAAGAGTAGGCCGTAGTGCCTCTGCCTGGGCAAAATTTCCCTCATAGCACACTGTATGGCGTATGTCTGTCTTCATTAGCCCAGTAGGACGTTAAATTTCATTTCTTTATAAGTGTTTATTTTTAGAATGGTAAGACAGTTTGTTTTTATAAGTTGTCAGGCCATATTTTCAATTAGAATCAACTAATTACATTTATTTGTTTGCCATTCACTGCTAAAAGCCACAGGTGGGTTGGGTGGCTGATTGGTTTAACATGTGCTTTAACGAGTGCGCTTTAGAACATAAGGTCTGTCATTGAGTCAAGTGCTATGGTTTTGATTCCCCGCTTGTAGGTGACAACCTCGTGAGATTTCTCTCGACTCCTCAGGTTTTCTCGAATTATTGAAATAAAATTGAACCATGTTAGTCCCGAAATGAACTAGTTGGTGTATAGTGGCTGTTAAACCCCATCTCTCTCTCTCTCTCTCTCTCTCTCTCTAAAAGATACATAAAACATGTGCAGAAGTGAAATGAATTGTTAGGATAACTTTTGGTTGTATTATTTTTTTGTCTACCAAACATGCACAAGTGAAACTGCTTCTTTATACAAATGAGCGGATGAGCTACATCTTTTTATTGTTACAATCATTCCATGTAACTTATAAATTTCAGATTATATTTGCCCATTCATTAAGAAAGTTTTCATTAAGAGATTGGTCTATAGAACAAAAATGGATGTCTGTACTGTTACCTCTGCTATTGTTATATGATGGTGAGTAGTATTTATAGGTAATATCTAGCCCTGAGTTCACAAAGCATTCTCAGATTTAAGTTAAGAATCTACTCAAAATTGTTCGCCTTTTTTTTTAACTAAAATGCAGCCCTTTATGAAATTTTTATTGTTTTAATGTATCAAATAGATCCATAAGATTGTGTTTCCGGATCAAAGATATTTCTTTTAAAAACAGTGATTGACAGTTGAGTAAATTCTTAACTTAAGTCTGAGAATGCTTTGTAAACTCCAGTCCGGTTTTATATTTTCATTCATGTAGATTTTAAAAAGGGCAAAAACACACTGTTTATGGAGTAAAAGGAATATAATCAAATAACACATTACATGTATTTATGAATAACAATTACTATGTTAACACTGTGATGTTTCAACAAGATTTATCAAGTTGTTATCAAAGCATAGATAAGATATTTGTGTATGTGCTTGATAACGACTTGTGAAATCTTGTTGAAACATGGCATTGTACTAAACCATCGTAATTGTTATTCCATGAAAAGTGTGTTATTTGATCATATCCCAATTACTGAATGCCTTTCATAGAATATATTTTCTATATTCTATATTTGACATTTAATCTAAATTTAACAAGTAGAACATACTAAGCTGTTTCACAAACATATGGACATTGATCTGGTGAATATTTGATATTAGTTTATGACATATTATAATTTTTATTACAGATCCTATATTTCCCCTCACATTTCTAGTCAATAGTTGGGTGCCAGGGATGATTGATGGTATATTTCAAGCTACCTTTCTGTGTGCCTTATTGTTATTTTGGCTGTGTTTGTATCATGGTGTTAGGCAGGTATGGTATTATTTTATTCCAAATTTTAATATTATAGAAAACGAAAGGGGAACGGCAAAGCTCCCTTAAAGGAGCTAAATCATTCTTTGGCACTTAGAAATGAACACAAATGAGTCACAACGCATATAATATAAAGGTATTTAAATTGTGATTTAGTAGAGTTATTTTATTACCTTGGATGATAAATTGATAACTACATGTACGCAGAGTTAAAAAAAAAAAATTGTGTCTTTTCAGACGGATCGACGTTTTGTGAGATTCTATATACCAAAGTTATTTGTAGTGGGTTTGATTTGGTTAGCTGCTGTAACTTTGGCGTCATGGCAGGAATATAATGAGCTACAAGATCCTACATTCTATTACAGATTAGATACAACAAACTTTGATGTAAGTATTTATAGATTGTTTTCTATCTATGTATATGTACACGTAGATGTCAATCATGATTTTTTGTAGACCTACCCCAAGTACCCCATATCAATGAATTAACCATGTTCTAGGGATTGACGTTTGAAAAATGCATATGCACAAATAATCTGTCACCTGATCAAATTTAGGGATACTGTTTAGAACACTCTCGTCTAAATGTTGTAGAGATTTGAGAAAAAGACAGATTGTGAGATTGTAATTATATAATATTTCTATTTGAAGTGATTTAAACATTTGCAAAATTAACAAACTTATTTAACATGTCATTGTTGTAAAATCTCCCAAGTCATCCACCCCACAAGTGCTTTCGTTTGCATGAAATGATCAGTGGAATTGTCTCTTCAACAATTAACAGAGTAGTTAATTGCTTATGTTACTACAGGTATATATTCTATTTGATTAAGGGGGTGTTGGATGGCCGAATGGTTAGCATGTGCACGCTGTATCATACAGTCTGTCATTGAGTCAGCTGACGTGGTTTCGATTTCCCGGTTTACTGTCGCCTGTCCAAGCTCGTGGGTTTTCTCCTGGTCCTCCAGTTTCCTCCCACTACTAAAGACCCCTACGCGCAAGTGAATTATTGAAATAAAATTGAACCATATGTTAGTCCCAAAATGACCTAGTTTTTGTGGAGTTAAACCTAAGGTTGTGCAAAAATATCGATATAATCGATAATCGGTAGAAGTTATTTAGCGATACGATAATCGATATTGAAATTCAAATATCGATTATCGGTATATTTACCTTCTGACGACAAGTTACGGTCACTTTCACATGACTGAATTTGCCGTAGTCTGGCATTAGCAGACGAATGAATGAATACACAACGTCAACACAACTATTTCCCCCCTCTGCTTACAAACTGGCACATTTTAAATATATATTATTGTAAAAAAAACTAAACTTTATGATTAAATACATTATTTTAATATTTTCGTTGTTTTTGTTGTTATTACTAGTTGAAACTAAAATAGGTCTAGCACTTTGTGAACAATGACAATCGCACGTGATATATAGTAAAATTAGAATTATCTCCCTTCTTTTTTCTTGGTTGATTTGTAGAGAAATCGTCTGCTTTCACGATAAAACTAATTGTATTATTAATGATCAACTCCGCTTTTATTACTAAATCATGTCAGATACAGCCCATACAAAACATGTTTTTGACTTCCAGGGAAAATGTCTATATCTCTCGTAATTTCGTGGAAGAATTCTACTTTGGTTTTCATCTAAATTAACCAATCCTAAAAATTTTTTCGGAAAAATGATAACCGATTATTATCGATAATCGCTGACAAATTCTTGCCGATAATCGATATTGAAATTTCATATGGATTCCCAGCCTTAGTTAAACCCCATCTCTCTCTCTCTCTCTCTCTCTCTCTCTGTATTTGATTAAGGACAAATCCTTTTTTTTTGGAAGTATCATTAATCTAATGACTATCAACATGCTTCTTGACAGGTAGGTAACACTAGTAATCCAAACAATAAGACCGGTTACCGAAATGACAATCTTGTAAAGTCTTGCGTGAATCTACGACAACAAGTTTGAGTTTGAAATATGTTGGGAAATAATTAATGATTTTTGCTGATATTAGCGCACGTTTTTAATTATGATCCTAATTTTGAAACCAGGAGCATGAAGAAGTGAGAGTCTGATCACGCTCCTCAAGAGTCAATCCCTGAGTTTCATTAAAAAAAGTATATGAAATGCATGTACATGTATACCAAACCTTTATAATATGATTTAAGAGCATCATATTTAATTCTTGTTTAAACAGATAATTTTCTCTTCATGTTTCAGGGATTTAAAATTTTCTTTTTTGTAATTGGGGGATTTTATCTACTTTATTTGGCCTATTTATTAATCCGAGCTTATGCTGAATTAAGATCGATGCCTTTTTTTGGTAAGTGCATATTTAATAAATATCCATCTATTGATTAAATGATTGGTGGTTAATTGAATTTATATATGGTTGCACTTCTTGTATACATAATTTTATACAAATTCTTTGATAGGCATTTATTAAGTGAATATTTTAACACATGGCATAATTTTATGGAGACACTATTACCCAGTACTGAGTTTAATAATTAGTATGCAGCGTTTAGATGAGTTATCTTCTCTTCTTTGTCAAGCGATTTCCGACGTGGTTTCCCCTTGTCAGTGATGCAGGACGGAGGGTCTGACAAGGACAGCTGTCTAGTCCTTCGGATGAGACGAAAAACCGAGGTCCCGTGTAAAGATTGGAATGCACGTAAAAGATCCCTTGGCAGTTGGAATTCGATATAAGAGTAGGCGAAAGTGCCGCTGCCCGGGCAAAATTTCCCTCATAGCACACTGAATGGCGCATGCCCGTCTTCATTAGCCCAGTATAGGAGCAGAACAGTAGGACGTTAAACTCCATTTCATTTCATTTCATTTCATTTGTCAAGCGAATACAACTGAACCCACTGGTAACTATGAGTGGGTGGGGTGGGGATAAGGAGCATGATAGATACACAAGATTAAACAAAAAGTGATAATTTATTAATATGAAATATACATACGATTGCAAGGGCATCTGTAAAAATATTGTTAGTATGGAGAACCTTAATGTCCAATCGACTATATATATGAAATAAATATGTACCATTAAATGCCTCTCTGATTAAACATACATTATGCAAGAGCTAAATCTGCCAATTGCAGGTCTGTCTTTAGGCCTGAAATGTTATCTAAATGATTAATTAGACCTTTACTTACATGACAAGCTCAAAATCAACTTAAATTAATTTTTTAAATGGCGAACCGTTCTAATCTAGTTAACATCTTGCATATCCGATGCCATCAAGAGTTGATTATGATCTTGTTTTGTTAATAAACGTCTAATTAATAGCTTATATAACATTTCAGGCTTAAAGAAAGTCCTGCAATAGGCAGATTTATCTCTTGCTTAATGTATGTTTAACTAATGTATTTTTAAATGAATTTGTTTTCCTTCAGATTTGCGGTTTATATAACATTTCAGGCCTCAATAGGCAGATTTAGCTCTTGCATAATGTATATTTAACTAATGTCTCTTTAAATGAATTTATTATCCTTCAGATTTGCGGTTGAAGTTTATGACAGCATTAATGGTTATTGTATTGTCTATAAGTATTGTTATAACTGTAATGAGGTTTGGTAGTGGTGCATTAGATGATAACTTTGTCTCAGAGATTTCCACAAACTACGAAAATTCCACAGAATTTGTCTCCTTTTATGGTCTTCTCAATTTATATATGTACACAATGGCATTTGTCTACTCTCCATCCAAAAATGCTATTTATGGTAAGGATATACATTCATTCTGTTGTGGGTCATTCCATGTCAGTTCACCCCAAAAAATCTATGATTCTAAACCTGACGTCTCAGATATTAACGAAACTTGATATGTAGGGATGTTATGTCTGAAAAGTTGAATTTCTAAGTTTCAGCTCAATCAGCAAAAATGAAATGAAATGGGGTTTAACGTCCTACTGGCCCCGAGTTCACAAAGCATTCTCAGACTTAAGTTAAGAATTTACTCAACTTTCAATCACTGTTTATGACAAATATCTTTGATCCAGAAACACTAAACATTGAACATAGTTTCTTATTGATGTATTTGATACCTCAAAACAACAAAACTTTTATAAGGGGCTATATTTAATTTAAAATCAGGCGAACAATTTTGAGTAAATTCTTAACTTAAGTCTGAGAATGCTTTGTGAACTCAAGCCCAGTTTTGCTCCGAACTGGGCCCGAACTGGGCTAATGAAGACGGGTATACCCGTGCTATGAGGGGAATTTTTCCCGGACAGCGGCACTACTACCTACTCTTATATCGAATTCCAACTGTCAAGGGATCTTTTACATGCACGCCAATGTGTACACGGGACCTCTCACCTCGTTTTCTTCGTATCATTTGAATGACTAGACAACTGTCCTTGTCCGGCCCTCCATCCTGCATCACTGACAAAGGGGAACCACGCCGGAAAATCTTGGTGAACTTTCTCGGCCAATGCAGGGATCGAACACCCAACCTCCAGGCTGGCGAGTCAGCGTCTTACCCACATAGCCACCATGACCCCAGCTCAATCAGACTTCAGTTGCTGAGATATAGACATCTCATTCTTATTAAAATACAGATCTATATTTTGTTTCGTTTTTTTATACTTTCGATGGCCTACACCACATGAAGATCTGACTGGTTATACCGTAAGGTCGCGTCAGGTGTCGTACGATCGGCTTTTGACCCTATGACGTCAGACATTAATTAATCAATCAGCGTTGACGTTTCTAGTGGTTTACCCACAGTTCCGTCAACTGCATGCCAAGAACTCTTTGTAACAGACCGTTTCATTGGCTAATCTCTCGCTTCAACCAGAACGCCGGCAATATAACAACTCCCCCAGATCTTAGTGTAGTAAAGACAAGAACTCTTTGTAACAGACCGTTTCATTGGCTAATCTCTCGCTTCAACCAGAACGCCGGCAATATAACAACTCCCCCAGATCTTAGTGTAGTAAAGACAAGTAAATCAAAATTTTGAACTATAAAAAATGAAACGAAATAGGATCTGTGTTTTAATCAGATTGTAGACATCTGTTTTTGGCTTTTTTCAAATGTTTTCGATAACTCCTTTAATTAGCCATATCTTCTAAACTATGGGCTCAATTTTTATGATCTAGTCGTTGTGTGGATTGAAAAAGACGAGGAATCACCTCATCAGATCAGACAATATAAAATGTTCATTATATTAGATATTTGAATGCTGACCAAATGTTAGTGATCTATTTGTACAATTTTTATAATTAAATATTTATTTTACAGAAACACATTTTAAAGATAATCCAGCATTATCAATGCTCAACGATTCTGATGAAGAAGTCCATTATGGGTAAGTTAAATAGCTATGGTCACCTCCATCAGTTGTCAACAATTGCTTGTTGATGCTCTGAAGGCTAAATTTATCATCCGATGTTACACAGTACGAAGATTTTGCTTTATATTTTCCTAAAGATTCATCATGCAATTGTCAGGACAACTTAGCTTCGGTGGATGTATATTATATTGCCTGGCAACCTAACTAACAACAAACACCACCCAAAAAACATAAGCCAAACAAGTTTACTCTCTCAAGAACATGTAATACACCTTTTCATTTATTTGTGAGGTCCATATAAAGACAAAATTACAATTAAATTAATTATTATATACTTGATGAAGGCTACTACAAAGATTTGTTATTGTCTGTTTATAAAAGTATACACATTAAAGGACTTTACAATGATATTAAAAATTAGGTTTTGATTTCTTTCAGATCAGACAATGAAGAATCTTCTTTAACAAATCATCGTCAGACGAACAAATATGATAGTGATGATGATACATTTCGATAAAAACAAGAACAATTCATATATCATTTAAGGCTTTCATTACAGAATTCATTATTCAAAATTGACTGTTTAGCTGTTTAGCTATGAACAATTCCTCATTTAGCACATGTTGTTCAAGATAGAAGAATTTCACAGACTTCTATATTTTTGTTCCTATTATATATGAGTACAGTCCCATATAATCATATTTGTGTATGTTCGACCAATCCTCTGCAGAACATCAACTCAATATTGCAATAATACCTTGAAGGAAATAATAAAACACTGAACAAGTTTTGATTAATTTTGCCGAAACAGTTATCTTTTCTTTTAAAAATGATATCTAGATCAGTGGTTCTTAACCTTTTTTTGCCAATGGCACACCTTGGAACACATGAAAAAATAGCGGCAAACCTGGCTAAATATGCATATGAAAAATATTTGAATTTTGCATACAACTGTAGACAGAGACTTGTCATAGACACATAGAATGACTCAAAAAAAAGGAAAACACAGCAATGAACTTAGAAGTAGACACCAGTGAATACTCAATAGGGATCACATGTTTTTCTTAGTGTGCTGTTCAAACCTTCACGGCACGCTTAGGAAGACTGGTTGAGAATCACTGATCTAGATGCTCAAATAATCAGACGCTAAATGTGAGGCATATAGAATGTGGTCAGACTGTATTAAAACATATTCAAACTAAGATATATGGGTAAATAAGAGAAATACCACATAGAGATTTTATTTATTTAATTGATATAATTTGTGTACATATAGGTGCTTAATATGGTCTCTTTAATACGTGAATGAAGCAAAATTATTATTCCAGAGAGAGAAACGATTATTACATCATGTTATTTGCTATGAACTGGAATTATATTTTGTCACAAAGAATTTCAAAATGTTTATTTAAATAATGATTTTATTCTAAAATCGACATTTGTAAAGAGATCTGAGCCCAAGTTCACAAAGCATTCTAAAAATATACTCAACTGGCAATCACTGTTTATGAGATATATTTATGATCCAGAAACACAAAACTTCGACATAGTTTCTTATTGGTGTATAAAAGTTTTATAAAGGGCTGGCTATATTTTAGTTAAAATAAGGCGAACAAGTTTGAGTAAATTCTTAAGTCTGAGAATGTTTTGTGAACTCGGGGCCTAGTGTTTAAGATGATGGTTATTAAAAGTATTAGGTTTATTATATTATTTAGTTATAATTTGTTATGGTATTGGTATTTTATTGCATAATGTACTGATATTGTTGACTATGATGGCTCACATAACATTTCAATTATGTTTGTTAAAGACTTGATGCGTCATTTGCATTTTGGCTAAAATATCAAATTTCTCATGGCTTAAAACACACTATGTATGTACTTAGATGGATGTTATCTGAGCCAAAGATCATATGTTGGTATTGTGAGAGCCACAGTGGCTCAAACAATTGCTCACTAACCAGGCGGTTCTGGTCTAGGATTTTTCAGCATGATTTCCCCTTATCAGTGGTGTATGATGGAGGGCTTGGCGAGGGCCAGCGTCTATACCAGAATGAACGAAAAACCAAGGTCCCTCCTAGCACATTGTTAGTCCCGAAATGACCTAGTTTGTGTCGAGTGGACATTAAACCCCATTTCTCTCTTTCTCCCCCTAGCACGTTGCATGGTATATTCCTGTCTTCATTGGCCTTGTTGGTGCAGAATAGTTGATATTCATGTCTTCATTAGCCTTGGTGGTGATTTTATTTCATGTTGCTGTTGTGAAATCATGTTGTTCAGGAAAATGCTTGACAAACACACACATATGGTATCATTTATGAGATTTGCCCTTTTCCCTACTGTTAACATAATGTTCACCTTCTCATAATGCTTGTCTTCTTCAATAAACAGTCTAGAAATGAAATGGGTTTTAACATCATACTGTTATGCTCCGTCTGGGCTAATGAAGACGGGCATACAGTGTGCTATGCCGGAAATTTTACCTGAACAGCGGCACTACAGACTACTCTTATATCAAATTCCAACTGCCAGGGATATTTTATGTGCATGCCAATGTGTACACTGGACCTCAGTTTTTTCCGTCCCATCCGAATAACTATATGTCGTCCCTTGCCAGGCTCTCTGTCCTGCATCACTGACAAGGCTGAACCATGCTGGAAAATCCTAATGAACTTTCTCACCCAATGCAGGTATCGAACACCCAACCTCTAGGTTAGCGAGCCAAAGTGTAGCCACCATGGCGCTCGACAGTCAATAGAAGCAATGGTTTGTTCAAAATAAGATTACAGCGATTCTGTCTGGCTGTATTTCTTATACACACCAAGAATTAATTGTCCGCAATGGAACAAGAGCAGCAAAATTAATAAACCTTGGTGCAAGCTGGCCTTTATTTGATGGTTTACTATAGATTGAATTTGATGAAAAAAAAATGAGTTACAGTACTTTATATGTGTCTAAGAAAATCATTTAATGTACATTTGTAGATTTTTTTTTTTATTTATTAACTGTGATAGTGTTGGTTGTGTTCTGTTGATTGTTACTGCCACATTAATAATAATTATAAATCCTGTTCTGTTTTATATCAGTATTCAGATATTTGGTTGTTTTTGCCACATTAATAATAATTAGAAATCCCTTTCTGTGTTATATCAGTATCCAGATATTTGGTTGTAATAATAAATTTATATCAGTATTCAGATATTTGATGCATGTAATATAAACTATTGCTGGTTATTGTATATTAGATTAACATTTTGAGATGTTAAAGGGACAATAACACTCTTGCTGGCTTGACAGCTCCAGAAAATAAATAATAGCCTTATTATAAGTACTAGATGTTTAAGTGTCCTACCTGTTGTGTAAATTATCCATTACATCCTATTTTACTTGTCCAGAGGATTCGAAAATATTTTTTAATCCAAGTCACATTTGAATTTTTCCAATTTTTTAAATTAGGTGGGTTAAGATGAAATTTGTATCATCAATTAATTGGAATATTGTAAAATAGTACAATTTGTTGACCAGAATAAAGATTGGGACATATTATTCAGTTACAACAAGAGTGGTATTGAGCCTTTAAAACTGTGTGTTAATCTATTCATATTAAATACTGGTACATGGAGACAGGAACGCCCTTATTATTATGGTCCACCTGACCTATTAATATGTGATTGTCAAAATTTTTGAGTCTGTTTTTTTCTTCATATTTTTCAAATTTTGAAATCTTCATTTTTCTTCCTGTTTGGTGCTAAATCATATAATATTTACTACCAAACATGTAATTCATATTTTTAAAAAAATACCCTCCGATGTATAATAATATTTTTTTAAAAATATGAATTACATGTTTGGTAGTAAAATATTATATGATTTAGCACCAAATAGGAAGGAAAATAAAGAAGATTAAAAAATTTGAAAAATATGAAGAAAAAAACAGACTCAAAGATACATTATGGGAGATTAGATAACAAGTTGGCAGTTCTCACTATAATAGTTAAAAACAAGATAATGAAAACGCAATTTGTTGAAAAGTTCCGTCAGATTGATCCACTATGAACCAAGAAATAAGCGATCTAAAGTTCCGCATAGCCTCGGTCATCATTACTAAAGTCGGTACGACAAAAATCATAGTCTCGATTATCCATTTAATCGTTAAATCGAGAAGGAAAGTTATGCAGCAAATCGGATCATAATCGAACAAATATCGCAGGCTAGCGTTGACATCGAGAGTTGGTTATGGTCTGGATACGTTAATTATATAACGTTAGTTTATATAACATTTCAGGCCTAAAGAAAGACCTACAATAGGCAGATTTAGCTCTTGCATAATGTATGTTTAATAGTATTAGTAATAGGTCAGATGGACCATAATAATAAGAGAGTTACTGTCTCCATGTACCTGTGATATTAAATACTGGTACGTGTACTTATAAATATTAACATCGGTACCGATAATACTTCTGAAAATGTAGTGTATACGCTTTTCATTTAATAAATAGTTGCGTGGTTATGGAATAGGGAAGTAACTTCAATGTCTTAATTGCTTGTCACTCTGCCTGAACTTAAGCTAAAAAGAGTGTGACACAAGAACTTACATTACATTGAGCCCAATAGCAGCAATTAGTATTAGTGTAAATGTGATAGAGGCCCACAATTATAATCAGTGTTTTTACCAAATGAGCTTCTTATTTTAGAAAGATAAATACTTACAGCATTCCTTTTTATAAACCCACATTCAAATAATTGTCGTATATTAATGTAATTCTTGTCTGTTTGGTCCATACATGGACTTTCCACGTTCCTTTTGAACACTCGATAGCTACATTTATCATCTAGAGTTATTGTCCTTGATTACTTTTGTCAGATCTTGTGAATGGTCTAACCACAAAATTTACCATGCCATCTTTTTGAAATTTGCATGCGTTTTTCAGGTTAATGAGACCATTTCTGTTATGACCTTTTAACTTAGTATAATCTTGCCAATGCCCTAACAAATTAAAGTTTTCTTTCGGTCTCCTCAAAATTTATATGCGTTGTTCATATTAGTGGACTGAAGAACCCATATCCATTGATTACTTCTAGAGTTATGGCCCTTGTTGGCTTTGTAAATTCTTGTGAACACTATATTGACAAAAGTTATCATCTGACCTGCTTGAAATTAATATGTATTGTTCAGACTAGTGAATTGTAGAATAATATTAAATTTCTTATATGGGTTATTGCCCTTGATTATATTGTTGAATCTGGTCAGTGCACAAGAGACATTATACAGTACAATGATTTTACCTTTTTATTTATCTATAGATTCATAATAATGTGACAACTCTGTGAGCTGCTTGGATGACTTGGCTGACGTGGACATATGTTTCTTTTCCTGGCAGTCTACCTTTTGTATAAATATCCATGTTTATTTATATTTATTAATTTTTAATAACAGTGAATTAATTAACTACTTGTACTTATTTCATTATTGTTTGAGTTTGAATGTGTTAATCCCATCTTCATCAGCCCATTTGGTGCAGAAAAGTAGGATGTTCTAAAGTCTAAACCCTAATTCATTTCATTTAAAAGTCTTAATTCTGATTTTTCATTGTCCAAGATTAAACACAATTTGTTATTTTCATGTTTTGTTGTCCTTACTAGGACTACACTAGGATCTGGAAGAGTTGTTATATAAGCCGAGTTCTGATTGATGTGAGGGATTAGCCAATGAAACGGTCTGTTACAGCGACTTCTTGGCGTGCCATGCACGGAACTGTGGGTAAACCACTAGAACCGTCAACACTGATTGATTAATCAATGTCTGACCTCAAAGGGTCAAAAGCCGCTTGTAAGATCCCTGACCCGAACTGTGAGTACAACTTGTCAGATCTTTATATAGTGTAGGCCATCGAAAAGTATAAAAAAACGAAATGAAATATAGAACTGTACATGTATTTTGATCAGATTGTTTCTATAACTACATCTAGGACAGGTAATCAGAACAAAATCTATAAAGATTTAGATAAAGAGCTGACAGTTCTCGCTATTATAGTAGTTTAAAATTAGATAATAAAAAGGGAATATATTGAAAATTTCTATAAAATTACTTTATTCTGAGCAGAGTTATGACTGCACGGGTAATCGGAACAAAATCTATAATGGGGTAATACAATTTACTACTTATTAATTTAACCTAATATTTAAAAAATGCATGGTGTATCACTATTAATGCTTACAAATAATGATAATGCATAATCATACCACTTAGTTATTCTTCTGAGTTGGATAAATATATGTCCTATTTCCGGTAAGAGATAAAAAAAAAAAGCCAATAATTCACATCGTCGGTGAAGTGTCAAAAGGGTGTATCTAAAGAATTTCTAAAGATTAAGAAATAGAACCTTTTGCATTTCAAAATTTCCACAAATTAAGATACAACATTTGAACACATGATACCTAGAACAGTTCTAATTGGCATAGAGAGACACACAGCTTAGACAGAAACGTGTATATTGATTGGGAGAGTATAAAAATGCAAGAGTGTATTTGACTAATTTCGAGATATACACCCTTTTGACACTTCACAGACAACATGCATGTAAGATTGATAACATTTTGAAAGTTGTTGCCTGTTATATAGTAGAATAGAAATAACATGTGGCATGTAACATGTAAATAGTTTTTTTTAGTAAAATTATTCAATCTAATTAACACACAGATCCTATTTCGATTTGTTTTTTATAGTTAATATTTTGTTTTACTGGTCTTTACTACACTGGGATCTGGAAGAGTTGTTATGTAACCCGCGTCCTAGTTGATGTGAGGGATTAGCCAATGAAACGGTCTGTTGCAGCGAGTTCTTGGCGTGCGATGCACAGAACTGTGGGTATCCTACAAGGAACATCAGTTAATCAAATATCTGACGTCATAGGATCAAAAGATGCTTTTATGACTCCTCACACAACCTCCCACTACAAATGGTCAGATCTTCATGTAATAGAGGCCACCGAAAGTATAAAAAAAACGAAACAAAATATAGATCTGTATTTTAATCAGATTGTAAAGTAACTATTAGGTTGTCAGATATTGCACTCTACATAAGAAATACAAAGACTAAATTATGCATGTAAATAAAAGTACAAATACACCATATATATGTAGTTAACAGGTCAATGATTTATCGAATCTTTGGGTAAATAATTTAATTTGTTTTAATTTTAGGAAAAATAATAAATAATGCCCTTGATTTGTGATATTACAATTTTATGGTTATAATAAATTATAATTGTTTTATCTGTTTAATTTCATGATACTAGAATGTGTTGATATAAAAACAATTTTATTATATGCAATGGACATGCCAAAATGTTGGTCTACTACTAGTTTACTGCCTGATGTGTATATATTTTCCCATCTTACAAAAGAAAGCATTTAATTAAGGAGACACATTTCCTTCAATTTAAGTAAAGTGTACCTGTGTTGATAAAATTATATATTTTTCAACTCACATGAAATTCATTTATTCTGCTTTAATTTAAATTTTGAGTTTAATGCCTATGAAGACTGGCAGTAGTAGGCTTCTAAGTTCTATAATCCTTAATGAAGGAGTATGACAACCATACATGACAAACTTTTGACAAAGAAAAATTACAATTTTGAAATTCAGTGGCTGGTATCCGATTTTTCTACAACAGGTAGACTACATAAATATATGTTAATAATTCTTTGGGACATATTGGTTATGATTGGCTAAGATTATGGCAATACATTATATAATGTTTGCGATTTAATTGAGTTATGGACTAAACATACTTGTTTATTTTATAAACCTAGAAGGCAGATGTCATATATTTGATGTCAATAATAACTGTAAATTGTCCCTGATGTACATATAAATAATTATGATGTACTAAAGATATTATATTATTTTAAACATTAATACTTGTTGTTAATATTTTTAAGACCCCATGTTAAATATTCCATCTTTCACCAGTGCTTATTTGACTTATAGAAAGAAATTAACAAACAGCCCCCCTCCCCTCCCCTCCCCTCCGCTCTGCTCTGCTCAGCTCAGGTTCGCCCCGCCTATTTGTGACTGGTTAGCGGCGTCTACGTGTACTATATTTTCCAGAGTACTGGAAAAAAAGTATAGGACACCAAAGTCGAATTTAGTGAACTAAAAGGGTT